GGAAAATAAGTTAAATGCTTTTGACTGTCAGCTGCTAAAATAATGACCAACATCAAAACATGAGGTTGCTGTTCCAGACTGAGGAACAAGTCTTCAGGAGGCTGCCAGATTAGAAAATGACATTTTATGAGATCACATCTTTGACATAGCTTAGATGTACCTATATTACAGGAATCTAGCTAACAGGAAAAATAGGGCAGAACAATGTGTCTTGGATGAAATACTTCACTCAGTGTTACCCCTTAAGAATACACTCACAGAATTTTATTGAAGATTGGATGGAACGGAGTGCAGGTGAAAGACATGCAAAAGGCCACACTTGTAGGCAGTATCTTCAGCGGCAGGCCATTTATAAAAGTATTCTGAGGGATTGTGTGGGGAGGAAGAGCATGCTTTTATCAAAAAAATATATATATAGCCTATTTGTCTCCTGTTGATGTAGAAACACTGGTGTGTGCATATACAAAACCAGTTTATTGTTCTTATTTCTGCCTTGAAAAAACAGGATCTTGGATTGTACCCTGATAGTACTGGTTAGTACTAATGAATACACTGCTTTAAGGAATAGTCCTATACTGCTAAGTAGGAATAGGGAACGGTTTCTATGTGCATAAGCTTAACACATTTTGTATTTTTGGGGTAGGAGGATGGGGAGGTGTTGGGAAGGTATTGCACGAGCTGCTTCAGTGTTTGTTCTAAGACTTTCCCGTTGCATTAGTCAAGCACTGTGCTTCTGTGCCTATTTCTGTACAATTGATTTCCCCCAAAGTAAGATCTGTATCTACTGAAATATATGGTAAAACTCTTCTTCTTTAGAACGTTGCTTTCAAGTGTTATCTGTTTTAGTTCTGTATGCTTTTCATGTGTCCCTAGACATGCAGTTTTTCAGCAAATTTAGTGTATTTCTACAGCCTGACAGTATGAGTAGTACTCTTAAGAAACTCAACAGAGCAGGATGATGCATGCATTTACTGAAATTAGGAAATAGGGGAGAAAATGCAGTGCTGTATAAGTAGATGCCCTATAGGTTGTTAAACTCCATTTTCAAGAAAAAGCTTTATGCACAAAATAAGGATACTTACACTACTACTTATTCTCAAGACTGCTTTGGTGTACTGTTATTTTTTTAACTTTAATATCAGCGCTCTTAATGCACTAACCTGCTTTTTCCTCTCCCCTCTCTCTATGCGTACAGAGACTCCTATGGCAGGACCTCTGCTTGGGTTCTGAGGGTGTGAGACCTAACAAGCTGGGTTGAATTCTTGTGTGACAATACATTATAACCTAAAGTGTTTTTTTTTTTTTTTTTAAGTTTGAGTTTAGTTATGTGAGAAAAAGCTAGAGTATTGTCAGATTACTTGCTGATAATTGTTCATCTGACATGTCCACATTTGGCTTCATGTCTTCCTTAAAACCATCAACTCCTGAGAATATAACTTACTGTTCCTTTTGCCCCGCTCCCCATGCAAGCCTTCAAAACTGAAAGTGCATTGACTGACTCAGGCTGTCTGCAAAATCTAGTCGCTTTGTTTTAGTGACATATCTTACATACAAGAGTAAAGACACTTTGTTTAGTAAGAGCTTGCCATTTTCTCTGTTCAGTCTGTAAGCCGTAATGAGTGATTATAGTTCCTTGTAGTAACACGTGCTTGTTTAATCAATCTTTATCATGTATGGTAGCTGCTGTGAACTATAGTGCCATTTTTAATGTGCAACACTTTTTCAACGAAAAATTAAGATAAAAGTCCTGATTTGAGGCAGGATCTGCAGAGAGTGTGATGCTATCATCATCTTTTTCCCCTTCTTAGAGTGCTTTCCCTCTCCCCTCAAAGCAGAAGAGATGGCACTTTAAAATTCTATGAATTCTGCCAACTGTTCCTGTGAACGTACGCTTTGTGTTATTTGGATACTAGCATTGAGGCCTCGGCATAAAGAGAGAAAAAAGTCTTAGTTTCAAATAAATAAGATGCTTTTATGTAAGACACAGCTGGCCCTGTCAGAGGACAGGCATAAACTTGCTTGTTACATGTTGGTATGGCATGTGGTGAGAGAATGCAGTCATTCAACAAAAGGCTAAGTAACTAGTTTAACAGACCTTCCCTCCAAAACAAATTGTCAGAGTATGGTCCAGATAAATACTTAATACAGTATATTTTTGTGCATTGTGAAAATCGGATTTGCTTCTGTCTAATGTATGTTGTTAACAACAGTGGTTTAGTTTCATATTGAAGGAGGGAAAAAGTGCATTTCTGATTTCTCAAGCTTCTGTTCCTTTTCTATTCAGCCAAAACAGAGTGGAATATGAAAAGAGGGTTCGAGCACAAGCCAAGAAGTTTGCACCATCATAAGCATCTGTCATGCAGCATCTTAAAAAGGAAGGGATTGGTTTGGCAAGAACTTGTTTACAAAACTTTTGCAAAATCTAATGTTGCTATGTACAATTAATATCCACTTAGGGGAGGGGGTTGTATGTGTGCCATTTTCCATATTCGCCACTTGTATACAGTTCTAAATTTGCTGAATTGCCCCCAGTTTTTTCATACAGGGTCTCTTCCTTCAGTCTTTTGTATTTTTGATTGTTATGTAAAACTTGCTTTTATTTTAATATTGATGTCAGTATTTCAACTGCTGTAAAATTATAAACTTTTATACTTCTATAAATTCACTAGTATCTCTAGTTACTTTGCTCTCTGATGCAGGCATGCTTTCAAATGTTTAGAACTATATTTAGCCTCTAGCTGGCTGTATGGGGAAAAAAAATCATGCCCTCCACCCCCTTCCCTCCCTGAATTTGTTTTTCTATCTTTCAGAAACTAGGTTGTTATTGCTTAAGAGCCTCTGAGATCCAAAGTCAGCCAGCATCTTTATTCTGCATCACTTCCTTTGTGTTTATATGGCGTTCTGTCTGTGTTGCTGTTTAGAGTAAATAAACTGTTTATATAAAGGGTTTTGATTCATTATCTTCATTAAAATTATTGAAAGGCTGCCATTTAAGCAGTTCCAAACACCATGAACACAATCTGGTAAAAAATACTGTTTTTAAGGCCTGTGATGCTACAGTTTTTGTTTAGATGTTTTCCTCATTTCTCCTTCCTATCCTGTTCTTGCTTCTAACACAGATGTTGTCCTTTGAGCCTAAATCATGATTATTCATAGCTTTTAGGAGGAGTCAATAATTACTTATACTTAAACAACTCACTGAATTATGTGACTAGAGACCAATTGCTCACTGATATGACCACTTCATCATAAAATAACAAAAATGCAGACTGACATTAACTATGGTACTAACTCTCAAAGGAATACTAGATGACTTAAAGTATCTGGGGATTTTAGATGATATGTTTCTCCAAAATACTTCTGTGCCTTCTGCCATATATCAATATGTATAGGTTTTAGGAAAAAGACATACTCTGTGTAAAGGAAACTGGTTATGTAAGTTATTTTCCATGTATGTCAAGTTGATATGCCCTATATTAAACTTGCACTGCTTTTTTTAATGTATTTTTCTAGTTCAAGTAATGCTGCAAAACATACAATGATAAAAGCTTCATCCCATTTGATCTTCAGTGTTTGTGTTATTAAAAGGTACCCTAAGTCTGCAGTGGTAACCATCTCAATGTTACAGCTGTGCTTTCAGGCTTGCTATATTTGTCAGCATCTGATTATGATAGCACTGTAACATGACAATATTCCCTCAAATTACAATAGCTGGCACCATGACATTCTCATTCCTTTAAGACTGTGTCTAAAATTGCTTCTTTCTCACTAATTTAGAAATCTTTGCTACAAAAGCTAACTTAAAAAAAAGACTTCAAATTCTTGAGGTTGGAGGATGAATTGCTGAGGAACACTGTTAAAGGTAGGATTTGCTGTCAGCTCCGATTCAAAGTTTTTTTTTTTTTTTTTTTTTCTTCTTCTTCTTTAAAGGCATATAGAGTATTTCGCCACTAAAATTGCTGTGAATCCCAAAGCTCCAGCAGAGCTAGAATTTCATCTCTGTACAGTTAGTTGGAAGAAGGTTAAGACCTTCTGTGATTTGAAGACCTTTATCTTAAGCATATGAAGGTAACAAATGATAAGTTGTCCTCTGAACCTCCCTTTTTACTGAAGGGTTGCTGAAGGTCAGGTGTAACTCCAAACCTAAGGTTAGGTTCCAGTGGGGTGCTGGCAATTCAAAATAGCTTTCTATTTAAGTACACAGAAGCCTGAAAACAAGGGATAATGGCTGTACATTGACTATATAAACTGGCACACAGCTGGAAAAGTGAACTAAGATACCAGTGCCCCTTAAAAAAGCCTTGCTCTTACCTCAGGGAAAGATGATGTGCAGTTGTGATTTGGTGGAATGCTGTCTCAAAATAAAGATACTATTGGCAGTGGTATTGCTGAACCTACTGTCTGAAATTCTATAATGTATCTCTGAATATAAAATGTTAAAGCTTTGTATGTTACTGAGGACCCTCTCATTGAACCTAAGCACATCAAAACTCAGCATATAATGCTACTGAAAAGACAGTAGGATTTTAAAACTTTGCCCTGCCCCAGGTGTTTGGTTTACTGTAAAATAAGTGACACAGCTGGAATACTTGAATCAGATTCAAGCCTGCACACAAGTCAGGAGCACTTTATGTGCTCTAATTTAGGTAATAACCTAGAATTAGAGCTCTTGGAAGATGAAATATTCCCCAGCTGTCAAAGTCTAGTCTACAGTGTACTATCAAGTAAAAATAATGCCTATAAATTACGCTACAGAAATGTTTCCTTACTAATGTAACTAAGCTGCGACATCCTTACATAATAACCATCTGCCCTCTATAAATATTTAGAAGGTAAATGACCTTAACCTTTATAAGTAGATCTATAAACCTCCATGTGGCCTTAGTGAGAACTGGAGATAATTAAGTACCCAATTACAGCAGGATAGCCCCCATACTAGTGTCTATTCACAAGAAAGTTTCTTATACAAGATTTTACAACTCTGTTTACAAAGTTTTTACTTATTTTTCCAAGAGTTGGTTTCTTAGTTCTTGGTGCAGCAACTTGTCAGTGCCATCTTCCTCGGGACTGTTCTCATCATTGGTCTCAGTGTCGTCATCATCTGCATCGCTCAGTGGACTGTCCTCAGATTCTTCATCACTTTGTGCTATTCTGGAAACATTTCAGGATGGTAGCAGCAAAGTAATTTTAATACCAGACAAAAAAGCAAAAAAAAATCAAAAAAAACCCAAACACTATGTAAGTTAAATTTCATTACCCTGGGACCTTGACTGGTCTATTAGGATTAGAAAATTCTTTTCCTGAGTCAACATCAAATGGATCTGGAGGAGAAAAATAAAATACACACATTTGCATACATGAATGCAAGGAGGGGAAGATAATAGATAACAAATCTGTTTCAGCTTTGATAAGCCTGATGTACTTGTTCTGCCAAGAGGTCAAAAGCCAGGAACTGGAGAGAGAACAAATGACCAAAAAAAAAAAAAAAACCCTAAATTCCACTCCCCATTCTCATCTTTTTCATTCAAAAGGGGGTTTAGTAGCAATCTGGGGACAGACAAACTGCCCACATAGGTGGTTAAAGCTTAGTTCTTGAACTAGTTAGATGCATCTATCTTTTGATCTTGACTATTTGACTTTTTTTGCATTGTCTTAAATAACAGCAAGCACTCGTCTGTGAATACAACCTGAAATCCTGGGATACAGCTCAGTTACACAAAGAATCTGGGAATAAGCTATTTGCACTCGTTCAAGGTCTTACCATTATTCTTACAGGTGTCCTTTTAAGCATCGTGGTTAGATACTTTTTGTATGTGTCTGTTAAGGATTTATCTAGACTTGGATGTGACTCATTTACTGTCAGAATGCATGCCTTAATTTTTGTTACATTTCTCCTGTATTGTGAGTTATCTCATTCATATTCTGCCTTTAACACTTGTAGATACAGTGAGGAAGTCAATATGTTTTCTTTTTACCCATTAGTTCTCTAATCATATCTTCATGTTAATTAGGTAGCTTCTCCACAGCTCAGCCAAATAAATTAATATTAAAGAAAAAGTATGGAAACTATATGGTAAACCAGGTGAGAAAAGAAGATATTTTTAGGTGTTTCTTACCTATTTCTTCTTCTTCTATTTCTTGGACACTGGCTAAATATTCCTTTTCAACTCTTAGCACATCTTCTTGGCAATGGCAGGTTGCATACTTTTCCAAAAGATTTTTGTTCAAATCAATAAATGTCTTCCCCCATTTAAATTTCCTTAGAAGAATGGTGGCTAGGTCTGGAAATCCTAAAACAGGAGATAAAATACCAATTTTCTTTTCAATATGAGATTTTACTTGGTTTACCGATTTGCTTTTAATGTTTGTCAGCATATTTTCAGTTTCATATTTTTAAGAGATCAAAGATCCTTTTAAATTTCCCTTTAACTTGAAATATCTACTAAATCCAAGAAAAGTTTATAGTCTTTTAGTCTGACATGAAAATATTAAAGTATTTTGTACAAAGGATGATTCAAGCGATAGCTCCCCCATCTTTTTTTAAGACAGTAATACTATGCATACTGTATTATCAGAAAATAAGATCTGTCAGCATTATAGCAGAGAATGTCTGTTCCACTGTGAGCCTGGAAAACATTATGAGTAGGGGGTGTTTTCTCTTAAGGTTCTCAACCAGAACCCACCTTGTTATGAATAGCTGCTAACTGCCATGGAGGCAAGAGACCTAAAGATTAACCCTTTCTTCTCTGACCCCCCAACACTTTTTTTGGTGTTTGTTTATTGTTTTACATTTTTCCTAACATTTGGTGCTGTCCTGACAACAGTAGGGTCATGAGATCATAGGTCATATATAGCAGCTGAGGTGATCTCCATCCCAGAATTATCTATGAAAGGCAATTAGAAGAACTAGATAGTCTCATTCCAAACAGAAGACTAAAGTGATGAGGAATGCGACAGCGTTGTAATTTATTATATCAAAAGTAATCTATTGTGGTTGATTAAAGATATGAGAATTGCTGGCAATACATTTCGTATCAGACACGTTGCAGCCTACCAACGATACAAAAAGTAGCAGCAAAAGCTTCCACACATGACAGCTTGCATGGCCGGCCATAGTTTACAGGATTTGCAGCCACCAGGTAAGGTAGGAGCCGTAGATGATTTCCTTTCATTCTCTTAAAGGGAGCTTCTTCAAGTTTTGCCCATGAGCAATCTATGACTGCAATTCCACTCTGAGCAACAATATGTCTTAAAAAAAAAAAAAAAGAGAAGCTATATTAAAAAAAAAAAGTTTTCTTCTATTGATAAAGTAAGTTCAAGTGAGAACGACAACTGCAGGTTTGGCAAGAAATGAACATATAACTCCCCCCCCCAAAAAAAACCCTCTATATTATAACTAAAATTCAGCTGCAATGGGAAAGAATAACAGCATGCTTTTCTTCAGATTCTGAATTGGGCAGGAAAGTCATATCCCCGTTTCAAAGTGAAATTTAGGATTAAAAAAAAAGATTGAAAGGTGATTAAAAATAATTATCTTGTTCTTAAGGCATTGAGATGAAAGTTCAGACCAAAGTTCTCCACTAGCTTCTAAAGCAATCTCTTAATATATATACATTTTTGAAATTCTGCAAATACATTTGAAGAAAACTCCGCAAGTTTCCCAAATAAGTCTTCTACCTAATGGACTGTGGTGTCTAGCCTAAGAATTTTTATGTGCAATCAAAAAAAAAAAAGTGTGTCTAAGCTGATTCTGCATATACTGGCCTTCAAGCTGCAGAGTGCCCTTTGGAGGTCCATAGATATTTTTCATCAGCTAGCAGCCACTTCAGAGTTTTGACCTTATTTGACAAGACTCCGGTTCTCATAGTCACGCGCCAGCGGGCAGGAGGGTCTGGGTCCCCCGCGGGCGCTCGCACCTGTCGGC